GGGGCGCGAGCAGCTGAAACCTCACACTGCGCCCGTGCCCGTCGTCTCGTGACTTGTGGCCGTTGACGCGCGCGCTACAGCCGTCGCTGGGCGGGGTTTGGGGTCAACGCGCTCATTGTGCGTCGCGCTGCGTCGGGTGTGACGGTGTTCTTGGCCGTGCGCTGCTGCGGCCGGTAGGTGCGGAGCTCGGTGGGCCGCGGGTGGCTGGTGCGGGCCTCCTGCTGTCGGGGCGGCGGATCACCTTTCTTCCCTACCCGGTATCTCCCTGGGAGCTGGGGGAGCCGCTGGGTGCCGCTCGCTGGCCATGTCCGGCCGCGAGTTGAGTGGTTGTGGCTTCCTTTCTCAGGTCGCAGCTCGGCAGCGGGCGGGGGAACGGGGGCCTGGCGTAACGCAGCTCCCTGTGAGCAGGGTCCCGGCATCCCGGGCCGCGGCTCGGCCGTTGGGTGGTCGCGGTGGACTCTGGCTGTCGCTTTACAGCCTTGATCTCCTGCGGAGGGTGCTGCGTAACTTCTAGAGGTCTGACTAGGCTTGGGCGGGCGGCTGTTTGTTTTGTTTTAAGGAGTTATGCAAGCGTAGTTTTAAAGAACAAATTAAAAGCAGAGATTCCTGCGCTATGTGCAGCGGAAAGTCATTAATTGTCTTTTGTGTGTTATAGATGAAATGTTTTTCATTTGCTGAACTCCAGCTTGGATTGTCCCATTGCTGTGCATTCAGAACTTCATAAAGAGTAGGAAGTCACGATGAAGAGCAGGGTGACACAAGTAAATGTAAGTGTTCTTAAGCCTAAATTATGGGGATTGATTATTCCTTTATTATTGGTGATTAGGTTTGCAGTTTATGTTGCGTTATATAAAACTCCCTGAATGTAAAACAAACAATATCCATAAATTGACAGCAGCTGTTTACAAGAGAAATATTACTTGGAAGTCAGTGAACTATGTTGCTTCTGACTCTTGTTCTAACAATGGAAGTTCTGAACATTATTAGCATGTAATAATAAAGTATTTGGTGAAGAGTGACTGAATGGCTTAACAAAGAACATAAGCATGTGGAGGAATGGAGAAAAGAGGTGTTGAAAAATTAACAGTGATGTTAAAATGAAAAGATAAAGAGGCAAGATGTAGCAGTTAATGTGACAGCTGTACTTCTTACTGTGAAAATTAAAGCTTTCCCTTTTGAAAACTGTATGATGCATTTCTGAATGAATAGGAATTATTTTTAGGAATGCGAGAAGACAAAGCTTCATTTAAAATTGCTTTCCTAAAATAATGGTTTAGAAATGCCACATTTGTAAATTACACTAAATTTGGGGCAGGTTGGCAAAGCAATACTTTCCTGATACACTGTCTCAAAATTGTTACGTTTCTCTGCATATGTTTCTAGACTTCAACCCTGCATAGGCTTCTTCACTTTTGGTTCCATCTTGTCTAGCTGAAGTGGTTTCTGATAGGGATGGTTGAGGAATAGTTTGATACCTTCTCATATCTTCCCAGTCTGGTGGGTATGGTAGTGCTCCCTCATCTGTCAAATTAAGCCAGTTAGCGAAAGCGCACTGTTTGGACACTTTCTGCTAATGATTTTGATTGAAATGGAGAAGGAAGAAGACTAATTTGACAGAAAGCCTGGTCATGAAGAGCTGAGAGTGACAAGTTCTTAAGCAAACGTAGCTCCTTCTGCAAGGAGATGTGAGAACTGCCAAATACAGAGATGTCTGAAACATTATGTCTGTGAACGCTCATGAGAATGAATCATCCTAAAAAAACCCACCTTTTCACATCTGCTAAGTATTCAAATACAGTTACTGTTCTGTGTTTTTCAAAGGTTGTTATTAATGGCTTCTTGGAAGCTTGGGATACAGTCTTGCATTATATTATTTTGAGAAAAAAACCCAGCAGCTTAAGGACTTTTTTTTTAAACTTGAATGATTTCAGTGATATGCTATATGGTATAGTCCCACAAGTGAGTATCAAAATGGGAAGAAAATCGTGGTGAAAGTACGGGAACTTTCATTCCCGTATTTTGCATATATGTATTTTGCATGTATGTACATGCCAATATGAGTGATAGCAAGTCAGCCTCATCTGTCTATTGACAGGATGATGCTCATAATCTTTGTGTTGCTATTATTTCTTTAGGAAGCCTCAGTCAGTGTTGATTTTGCTTGCACAGCTCATTGTGCCCATTGGCCCACACACAGGAAACTGTGATCATTGGCCAATGCTTGCCATTTAGTAAAGATGCTTTTCTTTCTAATTAAGTTTTTGGAGATCATTTGGTATAACTGTCCATCAGGGCCTACTTGTGAAAGGGGTGTCATTGCATTCTACTAACCAGCAGTTTCAACTGGTTCTTAGGTGGGGCAAAAATGAGTGTGCCAGCATGTTAATGGATAGAATGCCACCTCAACAATGAGATGAATATTTCTGCTATTTCTCAGTCAAGGTGCATAAGAAAGTCCTTGTGTTGAGTTTCTGCATCAAGGTGCAGCATTACCTCTTTCACAGCTGATCACTGGCTGATAGCGTGAGATTGTGGTTCTGAAGAGTCATAAACAGTATTTTAAGGGAAGAGAGAACCCTTACAATTAAAGTATAGAGGTCATAAAAACTGCTTCTTAGCTGTACCAAAGTAGTTTTGAAACATCTTGATGAGGTCAGTGTCTTTATGTGTGTTGTAGATGCTGTCGTACTCCAGTTTTTGTGTATAACTCCATAATTCTATATGTCATAGGTCAGACTACAGAATTTGCTGTGAACTATTTGTTTATCACTTAAACAGTCCTACAAATTTAGATACCAAAAATTTAGAATTAAATTTACTTCCAGGATCTGTCAAGTGGAAAAGTGTAACTTAGATGTATGAAGCTAGGAATGACTTGTGATAAAATAAATAATGTTTAGTAAAAGGGAGGAAGGCAAGGAAAAAAGTCATGCTATAAAGGGGATCTTTAGGAGAGAGGAAAGACACTCTTCAAACAAGAAGTGGCAGAATTCTCTTAATGGTATTTTATGTGATGCAACAAAGTATAAAATGATATATAGAAGAAGGAAGCAGGAAAGGCAGACTGAAGGTCCATCTGTTCTAGTCTCCAGCAGTAATCGATAGCAGATGCCTTGAAAAGTTTAGAAACAGGACAACCATAGAAGTATTCACCCACATGTTTTCCCAGTCTCTACCTATTTGCAGCTTCCTGAACCAGATAATTTCTTTGGTAAGCCACGTGAATTTTTATCCAGTGTTGTTCAGTCTCTTGAACCCATGTACTCATTCAGCATCTGCAGCATCCTGTAGCAGGGAGTCCAGCTGCTTAACTACTTGTTGTTTAGAACCAGCTCTTCTTGTCATAACTGACTGCCATTAGCTTTATTTGATGACCTTTACTGCTTGTGAAGGAGTAGGGAACTGAAGACAGGGAGCACTTTGATCTCAAGATGTATGTGCTCACAGTAATTAACATACAGTGTTTGAGCTTGATTTTTTTCTTTGTTTTCTCAAAGCATGGTTCCACTTCTGAAAAGAAGGAAAGCTACAGTTCACGCCAGCGAAGTTTGTCTCCAGAGGAGAGGTAAAATGTTTTTATACCCTACAATTCTGCTTATGTACCTCACGTAGATAAGTTGTTTTTTTAAGGAAAAAACACCAAACAGATTCTGTTTCTTTTTGTATATTACCATAACTGAGCAGTGAAAAATAACTGTAGGTCTAATAAAATATCTGAATGTCAGTGTAGCAGTAATTAAATAAATGTGTTATTAGAACTAAATAATAAAAAAAAATCCTTAGCATTCAGTTAAATTGTCATGGGCTTGAAAATGGAAATTAGATGCCAGCTTTTTGCTTGGACTCACATATTGCTGATACCACAATTCTTGCTTTAGAGCAAGATAACTGATACCAGCAGGAGGTGGAGAAGTGCCATTTGAAGTGCAATCTACCAAGGCATGAGATGACCAGCTTCTTTACATTTTAATTGAAATGAAACATTTTGTACTAAGCACAGTATCATTTTTTTCCTAATAGTTTGTAGTGTTTTTCATGCTAGACAAGCAAAAGTAGGTTAATCTTAAGTTCTAGGAGATGCTTCCATTTACAGTACTTCTCTTGATTTTTTATTATTGTTTTGCTGACAACAAATTATTATAAGAAGAGCATCTTCTGTTTGAATGGTGCATATATTGAAACTCAGGTTGCATAAGTGGAGCAGTTGTAATATAATGTTACATATCTACTAAGCAGAAATTAATAGCATTGCTTTTCTCGGCCTGTTACTAAGAATTTTGTGTCTTCGGTTGCAAATAGGGATATAGAGCGTGACAGGTCTCCATCTCCCAGAAAGAGAAGGTACTCCGATGATAGCAGATATGAGGAATATTCAAGAAGGGATTACTATGATGACAGAATTTCAGAAGGAAGGTATCAAGCCCTTTCTTAATCAGTGATGAAGTATTAATTTTGAAGAGTGAAATGTGAAAATTTTCACAAATCCTTGGGTGTTTTGGTTTTGTGTGGTTGGTTTTTTTAGAAGGATGGAAAGAGGGCGAGAGAGGTACTATGAGAAGTGGGAGGAGAGAGAATCTGATCGAAGGAAGCGGAGAAGATACTCATCACCTGATCGTAGGAGTCCAGAGAGGTCAGCAGTCCAGAACTCATTTGCTCATGATGAGGCCACTTCAAAGAAGAAGAAAGAAGAAGTGGATCCAATCCTTACTCGCACAGGTGGTGCTTATATTCCACCTGCCAAGCTCAGGATGATGCAAGAGCAAATCACAGATAAGAATAGGTGAGTTGAAAGTAACATATTAGAATTTTTACTGAGAAGCGAAACAGTAAAGTGTTTTAGTGACTGTTAGTGAAAATGGGATGCCTTTTGAGGGCTGTGATCATTGTTTTGAAGATATTTTCTTATCAGAAGAAAGGTAAGAGAATCAGTTTATGACCGTATCTGCTTCTGCAGCAAAGTGTAAACGGAAAAGTGGAATACAAAACCTAAGGAGGGATTTTTTTAGTACATCTTAGAAAACTGAACGTCTTGGGTTATACCTTATCTGCGGAGAATTACATTCTGGTATGTCATGCTGGTTCAGTGATTTCCTAGTAGTTAAATTTATAATTGTGAACTAGTCTTCCTATTTTATGTTTTCTTACCTATTTTACTTATTACAGCTTACATTCATGTTTTTGTATGTGTATATATATAAACCCGTGGTGCTACCTCAAATTTATGCATTAATAATTTGTGATACCTTTTATAGCTTGGCATATCAGAGAATGAGTTGGGAAGCCCTGAAGAAGTCGATCAATGGTCTTGTCAATAAAGTGAATGTTTCTAATATAGAAAATATAATTCATGAGCTACTTCAGGAAAATATTGTTCGGGGAAGGTAAGTCTTTGTATTTTAAAACAATTAGCTTCTGTGCTAATATATATACTATTTATGTGTACGTCACTGTGTGCTTTGTGTAATGTAAGTCACATTTTAAAATTAACCTTAGGCTATATTGTCCTGTGCAGCATAGTCCCTTTCTTGGGGAAGGGGTTGGCAAGGAAGGGATTGTATGCTTGTAGGAATAAGAGTGCAACAGATGGTATGTGGTTTTCTTTTCTTAAAGATTTTATACATTTAACTTGAATTACTTGTAATTTACTGGTGTCTGTGTCTATTTACTTTTGTATTTTGGGTATTTTTTCTGTTGGACAAATATTATTTGTAGCCAGCGTTTAGCAAAACAAGTTTTACTGCAGTTATCTGGCTGGATCGTTTATTATTGTAATGTAGAGAAAATATTATTATGCTATTTGAGCTCAGTACTAAGTCATGGTGTCTGTGCAAGTGTTGTGTGATAACTTTTCTTGCTTTAATTTTTGTGTCAAAATTAGATGTTAAATATGCTAGTCTAAAGGAGCACACTTTTCTTAAATTGGCTACCATTTAAACAAACAAACCAAAACAAAACCAAACCACCACCAAAAATTTCTCTGAACAAACCATCCAGAAATAATTGTGTTACATTTCAAACAGATAGCAACGCTTTTTCTGTCACAATATAGCTAAGGAATGTGTTACCTTAATGTACGTCATACCTGATGGGAAGATCAAAATCCTGCAAACAGCATAAAAATAACACAAGAGACCTAAATAGAATTTAGAGATGGAGCAAGTAGTTACTGAATGTGATTTCTGTTAAAAGTAATAATGAAGTCTCAAACTGTGTTGTAGAACTGCTTTTTGCTTTCCTGCATTTCATGTCCCCAAAACTTGATTTTCATACAAGCAGTAATATTTTAGTTTAAAAATAGGCTTATTGAATGTTTTTAGAATACACTTGTAGAATGGAAGACTTGTAGAATTGTAGACTTCCACTTGTCTGTGGAAGTTTTTTTTGTGAGGCAAATGACACCATTTCTTCCTTTATTACAGTTATTTTACTTTATTACAGTGAAATTTCTTTCCAAATTTGCACAGAGGTGCCTAAAAAAAGTAACGACATTAAGGTTTATCTAGCTGTAAAGTGCTTTTCTGAGTTTTCTAAGTAGAGGATAAACAGGATCTGAACCAGACCAGTTTCGGATTGTGAGAAGTTTCAAAATTAAATACTCTGTTTCTTTACAGTAGTATTAAATGAGTTCCATTTCAATTGTAAACTCCAAAGAGCTCCAGAGTTAGTAAGAATAAGGTCCTTATGCAGTTTATATTTGGTGCCATGTAGGAGTTTTTTGAAAGATTTCGATAGACCAGAGAGAAGATAGAGTTGGATACCAGTGGTACTTTGAGGATTCATGTTTGGAGAGCTTTGCTTCCCCCCCACCCCCCACCCGTTTGTAGTGCAGTAATGCAGCTAAAGTCAAATTCTATGTGCTAAAGCATTAGACAAAACAAAACTGAGGGGGAGAGGAATCTGATTCTTTTCAGACTTTAGTCTTGATATAAAAGTAAGAGAGACCATTAGTACAATAAAAACTATTATCTCATGAGCCTTGCATTTACGTTCATTTAGGCTCTTAGTAGTGGTCTTTTATCATCAGTTCTCAGTTCCAAATGTAAATGTTATGTTGAAAATAAGCAATTCCATTTGAGATAAGCATTGAAAAGCATTATTTTGCCCATTCTGGTTTTACTGAACATTGTTTTGTTATTCCTAGGTAGTTCTTTATTGTTGGGGAACTTTTGTGGAAGTATAATTTTTATTTCTTAGAAGCTTGTTTTGCTTGTTTAAGTTATCATTATACTCTAACACAATCTGTGTTTTTCATAAGCATTTACAAAGTAGATATTTTCTGGTCGCAAACAGCATTTTTTTTTCCCAGCTGAGGAAACGTAACAACACAATCATACAGATTCCAAAGCCAAGAGGACCTTGCATTGGGGTTAAAAAGGGGTAGTTGCAGGGTATAAGATGAAGACTTTTTCCATGCTTATCATTTTCAAATGTAGTTCTAATAGGAACAATATTTAATGAAAGATAAGGTATCAGTTCAAGAATTTCTTTGCTCAGACAAATTTGTGCAATACATTTTTCATAACTCCATTTGTGGCACAATAAACAATGATTTGAAAATGACCATCTGATATGTTCTAACTATTCCAACTGTACAATACTATTTTCTATGACATTTACTGCAAAAAAAACCTGCAAATGTTTTATTACCAGAAAAATCTTCAACTTGTGTGTTTTTACAGGGGATTGTTATCTAGATCCATTTTGCAAGCTCAGAGTGCCTCTCCAATTTTTACCCATGTTTATGCAGCTCTTGTGGCAATTATCAATTCAAAGTTTCCAAATATTGGTGAATTGATTCTCAAGAGGTTGATATTAAATTTTCGCAAAGGATATCGCAGAAATGATAAGGTATGTAAAATGTGAAGAAGCAACATACTGGAACTTGTAATTCTGCTGTGTTAACCTTGTATCAAATGTCTTCAGATCACACAATTCTAAGGAACACAGCCAAGACCTGTGGGTTGGAACCTATCATTAGTACATTAAGTGCAGTAATATTAGAGTATCATGAAAGCTTGGCAACCTATTCTGGGTTGGTACTGTGGTAATTTTTTCTTTTTTTTAAAGTGTACAGTCCTAACTGTGAACAACTTGTCAGTATCCTAAAATAGTTTGACTTAATTTGATTGCAAGACACACAAATTTTAGTAAGTAAATATTTTCTTCCATGTAAGATGTGTTAAAATTTTCTATTTCACTTCTTTTGCAGCAACTCTGTCTAACATCTTCCAAGTTTGTTGCACATTTGATGAATCAGAATGTGGTATGTTACTTCATGTTTCTACTCCATCCAAACCCTATATGGTTATTTCTTTAGTTTCAAGACAGCAGTAGCCTAAGTGAAGATACTCTCCCTGTTCTAAAGGTTACTGAAAAATCTGAGTTCAGATTTTCTTTTAATGCCTGCTGTACATTTTTAGGACCTTTTTATAAAAGACATAAGTAATTGCTTGTGCAGTTAGCCTCGTTTGCTATTACACTTATACTCCATGGCTTCCCCAGACTTCATAAATGTTTGGGCTGTTATTCAGACAAATCTTGTTGTAAAGCAAGCTTAGTCTGAGGCTGTGTTCCACGTGCCTTAAACAGAGTTTTCTTGCAACAGTCATCGAACATCTGTGTAAGTAGGACTAGACTCAGTTGTATCTAAATCATGTTTGTGTCCAGCTCTATGCCACATTTTTGTGTTAGAAATAAGGTAACTCCAATGTAAATAAGGGCAAGAAGCAGTGTTTCAGGAATGCATTGGGAAGATACAGCATTTTGGTAAAGAGAATACTAATCCATGCTGTGCCATTTGCTTATATGCCCAATCCTGGAAGACCTGTTTTAATTGCAGACACAATGCACTTTGAAGTAGTTTCTGTTATTTAAGTGCTGTTTTATTTGCTTCTTGGAAATGCATTCTATTTTTTTCTTAATGATAAAGTGTTTTTCATTGCTTGGTTGTTCATTTCGATAGCGTAGTCATAATCACTACGAAGTTGGTAAATATAGATGGTAAAACTATTTGAAATTTTGACTTCCTCTTAATTAGTTTTGTCCCACTCTTGTTGCCTTGTGTGTGAGATTAAACAAGTATATTCTGGCATCCTCAAAGGCTGGACTGCTTTGTCAAATAAATCACTGTAATAATAGTGCAATATCGTACATTCTAACTCTTTACTGATATTCTTTGCATAGGCTCATGAGGTTTTATGTTTGGAAATGCTCACTTTGCTTCTTGAAAGGCCTACTGATGACAGTATTGAAGTTGCAATTGGATTTATTAAAGAGAGTGGGCTCAAATTAACAGAAGTTTCCCCTAGAGGTATTAATGGTAAGTATAATTAGCCAGAACGCTTGTCTTTTTGATGCATTTGTAAATTCTTCTTTTATTTACACTTCTGTCTTTTTCCAAAGCAATCTTTGACCGTCTTCGACACATTCTGCATGAATCTAAAATCGATATGCGTGTTCAGTATATGATAGAAGTCATGTTTGCTGTACGGAAGGATGGCTTCAAGGATCATCCAGTAATCCCAGAGGGATTAGATCTAGTGGAAGAGGAAGATCAGTTTACTCATATGTTGCCATTAGAAGATGACTACAACCCAGAGGATGTTCTTAGTAAGTTAGAAATGGAAGATAATTCTATGACTGCATTCCCCATGAAAACAAATTTAAGATAAGTATTCATTGTTTTCTCCTGTTTGTATTTTAAATAAAGATTTTTATTTTATTCTAAAGATGTTTTCAAGATGGATCCAAACTTTATGGAAAACGAAGAGAAATACAAAACACTGAAGAAGGGTAAGGGGTGTGTGTGTACATGTGTGTGTGTATACACTGCCACATCCTCCATCTGAAACACCCTTTCACTCTTAGATGTTAGATCAGGTGCTGTGTTCTGTATTTCTTTAATGTGGGGTGCTGCTTTTTCAGAAATTCTTGATGAAGGTGACAGTGAATCTGAAGGAGATCAAGAGGCTGGAAGTAGTGGTGAAGATGAAGAAGAAGATGATGAAGAGGAGGATGAAGATGGTAAGCGTAATACACCTTACTAGTGATTGGTTTTAGACTGAATGGGAAAGAAAAGCTTGACTTGTTACACATTTTGTGAGACTAAGAATGTTCAAATGTTAAGGGATGTTTTAATCTTAAGTTATTGTCAGATCTGTTTATTAGCAAATAGCATAGAAATAACGGTCTAAAAGGAAGCATTCAGTACAGGCAGAAAGTGAAAAGCGTCTTTGCCTGATCTTGACCGTATCAATTTCATGCGAGAAAAGCCTTGCAAACATCAGACATGAAAAATAACAAACGTGAAAACGCATGCTTTAAAAACAAGCAAAGACAACCTTTCTGGACACTTTCTAGTGCTCTATCACATTTTTAAGTAACTTGCGAAATCAGAATGGCCTTTCTTACAACTGTATTTACATCCTCTATATCTCACTTCTTAGTTGAGTTAAGCCGCCTTTCTCGATCTTTTAGTGGAAGCAGTCAGTGTTTACAGATTTTCAAAGTATTGATAAAATAAAAAGATTTTCAGACATGTATTTGATTTCGGAGGGGGTAGAATGATGGATAGGCCTAATTGAAACATTTGTGCAGACTGTGTGAGTAATTGAAAAGCTAGCCAAGTCCTGTCCTTGTAGAATACCAGGAATAGATTTCCTCCCTAGTTTACTAGAGTATTTTACAGAACTGCAGAGCTTCTAGGCTGATGAAAAGTATGAGGATTCACGTAACTTTTCATCATTTATTCTGTTACCGAACTTTAAAGGAATGAATAGTGAATACCTTACAAATTAAACTGTTCCGAGAATGGTTGTGGTTTGGAACAGATTTTTCTATACTTGCTCCAGGACAAAACAAAACTTTGCAAAATGCTGTAATGTAGATCCTACACATAACAGAAACAAATAATTTCCTATTGCATCAGGGAGGCTGTATAAACACTGTGTAGTTAAATTATGCAGAAAATACTTTGCTAACAATGTAGATAAATGTTAAACCTAGAGGTTGTAACTAAGTCAAGTGAAAGGCCTTTAAAACGGGAGTTACCCTCTTAAAACTGTACCTCTAAATATTTACCTCTTAGTTACAGATGAGGCAAATACTGATTATTTTTTTCCTTCTCTCTAAAAATAAATAGAAGCCCTCCCATAAACCTGCTAAACAGGCCTAAATATTTCTAGAAAAAGTATTCTACAGTGAGCTACAGAGTTAGTAAATAGTAAATAGAGCTGTTCTAGGAGATTACGTATATCTGCCTTAATGTTTTGCTCTTTACAAAACCATGTTTTTCTTTCCCAGGGCAGAAAGTTACTGTCCATGACAAAACAGAAATTAACCTGGTCTCCTTCCGTCGTACAATTTATCTTGCTATTCAGTCAAGGTAAATGTAATATAATTTGTACACCTATGAGTGCAGTTCTTTTGAAATAGGTACTCTGGAATTCTTTCTTTTTAACGTCTCTTGTAGTGTGTGACCAAAATAAATAAATAAATAAATAAAATTAGGGAAGTGTTCTGTATGGAGCCTGATATGATTGTAGAAAGCAGACTGTTTTGACAAATGGGTACCCAGTTTATCATTTGAAGATGAATCTTGTTTGCTTCAAAATGTTTGAGTAGTGTACTAGGACTTCTCTATGAGAATTGCTGTAATCAAAACTTACTCAGTGAACAGAAGTCTGTGATCTTCAGACTATACAGCATCTTAAGAATTTGAGGAAAAAAAAAAAGTGTGATGCTTAAAGTAGAAATGCTGAAGAGTTTCTCCACTTCTGAGAGAAAGTGGTAGTCTTTAGGCCTGTTGCCATCTGCATTGTTTGGAAAATAAGTATACAGAACCTAATCTTGAAGTGTAGAGTGTTTGAGAATGAAATCCCCTTGCAGTACGTGGCACAAATAATTGAAACATGGAGGTATAACTCCTGTGTCACCTGGGTGAGAGATAAATCTGTTGTATGCCACTCAACTCCATTGTTGAAAGTATGCATGGCCCACAATATTCTGCAAGTCTAAAGCTATGTGAGATAGTATAGTTGTAGTATTGATTGTTAGACGTGTGAATTAATACCATACTGAGATGTGGGAAGGACTTGTATTTCTCAAAGTTACTGTTCAATAATTTCTTGCCATACTTAAGTTTGTCCATCTTATACTTGGATGGAGTGAGTTAGTTACTGGTAGCTAAAGGCTTTCAATATGCAAGAACAGACATGGAAAGAGGAGAGTGTGGTATATAGTGCTTTTGGAGCTTATGTACAGTGCTTGCATTTCAGTGTTTTTCAGCATGTGGAAAATGAGCTCACATGTTTGTGTTCTGCTAAGTTTCATAAAATGATGTAATAGTAATAATGACCTGAGTCATCTTGTTTTTAGATTGTCTACAAGTGTAATGATTCTGGATGAATTTTCAGCTATAAACTCATGAAATACAAAATGCTTATTAAAAAACTCCAACAAAAACAACAGCTTTCTGAATGTTAATGAGATACTTTATTTCAAAACAGTTGAAGTTTCAGCACCAACAATCAATATAATTCTGAAACCTTTGTAATGCATATTGCACAGATAATGACAAGTATTTTTTCTATTATCGCAGCTTAGACTTTGAAGAATGTGCTCACAAATTGCTGAAGATGGACTTTCCCGAAAGTCAGACTGTAAGTCTTGCTGTTTATTCTTTATTGTTAATTACATTATTAAGCATTAGTACTATGGTAGTATCTAAAATCCTTACTCTTGTCCTGGGACCTAGTTTATATTGCAAGAAGATGAATGAGAGTGATTCCTTACAGTTCTTGTTCTTCAAAATGAGCCTTAAGCCTTTAGAGCAAATAGTCTGACACATATGTCATGAGACATTTGTCTTATGCAATCGCTTCTTTCTGTCAAGCAGTTCAAGTGTTAGCTCACAGCCTGTTTGGCAAGGTTTGTTAGTTGGACTGTTGGAACATCGATGCCATGACAAAAGTACTGTAGCGTGGCAGACATTCTCAGAGCCGTGTCTCTGAAAGAACTCGGAGTTGAAGATCGTATTTCCAGGCAGCTGTTGACTTTATCAGTGAGGCTTGAAATCTAGCACAGTGCTAAAAGAATGCATTGTTTTGTTGCTTTCACAGTCCTCTTTGAATAATAGTGTATTGAATTAAAGCAATTGTAAGTGTGATTGCTTTGTTGTAATCTTGTAAATCATCAGGCAAAATCTGTTCAGTCTTCAGACACTGTAAGATCAATACAATTGGTATGTTTTCAAGTAAAAGTAACTGTCTTTCAGCTAGCGCTTACACTAGATCCTGGTAGAATGTCAATACCCATCTAACTATATAAACAGCTTTTCAGTCAGCTGTAAGCTATCATCATGAGAGTTGTGCTTGAGAGAGCTGTTAATTTTCTTGTGGCTTTAATTATCACTATTATGTTTTGTTTTGAAATTGCGTAGAAGTAACAATATAATAGTAACTAGTAAGTGGAGATCTGGGCTGCAGTTAGGTGTTCTTTGAAAACTTCATTTAATCTAGGAATCAAATTAGTTTGCCTGTTATTTTTTTCAGTTCTTGTGCTATTTTGTTACTAGGCAAATTTACATGGAAGTAAACTAAAAATTCAGATTATTGTGTATTTTCTTATCAAATTATTTAATTCTGTGCATGAACTGAACATTCATTCTGTGCATGAACATTAGTAAGCATGCATAGAATTATAATTCTCTGAAGCATAACCTGAAGAATTCTAAAGAGGAAAAAAAATACTGTTTTCCAGCACACCAATTCAGCTATAGAGAGAACAATCCTATATACGTGCTAGATCATACAGTGGAGATACAACTTGTATAGCGCAGCTTGTTAGGTAGTTACTCAGAGAACTACTTAACTGTTGGTATTTAAAACAGTCTCTGTCAAATACTAACTATTCTGTGGACGAGAGAACTACGCAGGAGAAAAAAATTAATGGGGGGGCGGGAAACCCAAACAACCTCAAAAAATAACCTATTAGCCAGAAACTTAGATGCCTTTAAAAAAAGGTAGATTTCTCTTTCAGAATTTTGTTCAGTGTTTGCGTTTTGACTTATTTGCTGCCAGGTTATTTTCTTTTACTTTCTGTGAATCCTTTGCTTACTGCAAATAAAAATAACCAGACGTACACAGATGAATTTAAGTTGTTACGTTTCATGTAATTTACAGAGTCTTAATTTACTGAATATGAATCATCTTTTATTACATAATCCTGTGAAGGGATTTATTTCTGTCTCAGCTTTGACAGACTTTTTATTTCCCCTATAAATCACAAATGAAAAATACATGAATGTTACTGTATGCAAAAATAAAGAATTTTTTTCTTGTTGCACTGCGAACACAAAAACTGTTACTTCTAATTTTGTAGGAAAGCTCTCAGAGCAACTCTCAGGTCTGGTTTTAAGACTTAAGAAAGTATAGCTAAATTGAATATAAATGGGACTGTTTGGAATCAGTTAAATACAGCACTAACTAAATTAGACTACAGTGGCTTTGTGACCAGCAGCATTATAATCTCTGGAATGTTTCCTCTAACTTTCTTGTCTCTTTAGAGAACAAGTGACTGGAAAGGACAAAATATTATATCCTACTGTCTAGTCAAGTCTCTGGACAATACTAATTTGTTCCCTTAGCATCTCATTCCAGCAGATTCTTTCCTATCACTTTATGCTTTGGAAAATATCTAAAATTCACTAAGCATCATAGGTTTTAATAAAATTTAGAACTTTCTTTGAAAACTACTGGATTTAGATGAATAAGAGTTTATATATTATTACAGCTTGTATTTATGTATTTTTTTACAGTTTGTGTTGCTCAGATAATTTGTTTTGGTTAGCACACCACCCTATTAAAAAAAAAGAGGAATCTGATGTATGATTCAGCTACAATTACTATGAATGAGATGCTTTTAAAATAAATGCCAAAGTGTTATTTTTGGCATTTTGTCTGTGTCCAAGTAGAAATATAATTTAGTTTTAACCTACAATTCAGTAGTAGTTGTAGAAACTACTACAATTCAAGGTTCAAAACTGCTGCAAAACTTTATCTTCTTATCATGAGGCATCTCCTTTGTGCTGATTTTCTTTTTTTCCTCTAATAGTCGTCATTGCTTTTCACCTCACCTTAACCAGAGATGCAAGAGCTTTGACTTGCACGTTGTATAGACATACAGCTCCTAAGGAGTGTTTATGGGGGACAGAAAGAAAAAAAAACAACAAACAAACCAAGGTTTCCTGATCAGTGTGCGAGCAGTAAGAAGGATGAGAGCTTGAGTCTGTCCATGTGGATAAGGAACTGAATGCACTCATCAAGAAATTTCCGATCGAATTAGCTGCCAGTTTCTAAACAAGGAAAAAAATCTTTTGTTTTTTTTCAAGTTAATATCTCGTGATTGAAGCATTTATTGAATTGATTCCCACTGCCTCAGTTATTAAAACAAGCTACAGGATTATTTTTTTAGCTATAAAACACTTTCTTTGTTGGTTTTACTGAAACCTTCAGCAACATATACTGCAGGATGTTGTGTCTTTAATTTCTTTGCACCTTATGATTCAAAGCTTTAACCAATCTTGAGAAATTCCTGAAATGTTTGCTGAACTCTTGAGTGAATCTTCAAGGCTTGATTATCCTTGTAAGAAAATTGCAATTTAGATTGAGTGTAGGAGAGGTCGTAATGTCATGGTTGGTTGTTTCTTACAGTGAAGATCCTGTAGGCAAGAGCTTGTTCTCTATATATTCTCCTACTATGAATGTCATTTATTATAGGTAGTTACTAGAGTGTTTGACTGAGGTATTGTTTAATGTGGTTTCTGTTCCTTAAAGAGCAGGTGAAACTTGAAATGCTTGCTACAGAATTTTTGTTCAAATTAAGTTTAATTTTAAAGTTACTTTGTGTTTTCTTTCTGGAGGACTTAATAAAATAATATTTTTTAAATTCTGTCATTAAGGCTGTTTTCCACAGGTTTTTAGTAGTGAATTGTCAATTAAATACAGTCTGAAAACTGATAAAAATATACAAAACCGAAAGACAAACTTGAACCACAGTTTTGAGACTTAATAGTGACTTTCTTGCAGGTTAATTGTTCCAGAAGTCTTTTTGTACAGAGATTTTTGGCATGATTTAGCAGGACTGAGTTCAGGAATATATTTAGCAGGTTTTCTCAGTGGTTGAATTATCAGATTATCATGTCACATTAACTGCTGTGCAACACAAGTGTTTGTATGCTTAATACCAGTAATGGATCTGTCACACAGCTCTGACTCACAGAAGGAAGATTAAGGTCGCAATGGATAATCTGTGGAATAGCACAGCGTAATACTGCTTTTTGGCATTGATGTTTAGTACTGGGTGCTGAGGGGATTGTCGGCAGTCTTGGGTTGTATTTTTTATTTACTAACCTAAAATTGTTGTGTTCTGACTTGAGATGAACACATTTTTTTGTTTTGCCATGAACTGAAATGCTGCTTTTTGAGAAGTGAATGATGCTGTTAAACAGAAACCTTCATCTTCCCTTTCCCAACTGATTTGGAGGCAGTTAATTTTTAATCTCCAGCTGTATATTCTCTTTCAAAATACTCACTTATTTTTATCTCTTCTTCTTTTTTGTCCCCACACTTCTTTTTTGAGTTGCAAAGTTAGCTGACTACAGTGTCCTATTTTTCGTTCTTTAGAAAACACCTTTTATGTCCACAGTTGTTTTTTCCAGGTTCACAAGCTGGTTTTGTTTCCAGCTTTCCAGTTTTTCTTTGTCCTTGATTCTTTTTCCCATTCAATTGTTTTTGCTCCAGGATTCTTGAAATGTAATACCTGCTCCTTGTACCTGGACCTTGTCTTTAAACTCTTCCTGATTACGCTTGTTCTGTTTCTTGCCCTCAGTTGTATTATGACAATTTTTCCTAAATCTACTACCAAAAGCATGTTCAAGTTAATTGTTTTTCCTGTTACTCTGTTTCATACGACTTCAGCAGATCAGATGTTACCATTGTTTCTTATACAATGTCTTCCTGTTTCTGGTTTGTTGGTTTGTTTGTTTTTTTTTAATTATTCCGCCTGCCCCCTCCTTTGATTCTGACCTATCTTCTGAATTCTTGTCCAGGTATGCAAACCTTCTGAATTTGTCATCTTTACTATCTCTTGAGCTGACATCCCGCCCCACTTGAGGAGTAGGTTCCAAGTGGGCTCTTGCTAACCTAGCATGCTTTGTCAGCTTTGTGAATGTTGTTAGTGAAGAGAATTGTACGCATCTCCTGTGCACTGTGACTCTTACTTGCTTGTACTCTTCCGTGTGGATTTTTAAGCTTTAACAAAGGGGTTTATTGCTTCTTTTCTTGATTTGAGTCACTTTGGTATCTTAGTTCTACATTATTAGGCAGTAGTATTTAAGTAAGTCAGATACTCAAAGTAATTCTCATCTGTTGGTCTGTTTATTTTTTTAAGGAAAACATAAATTCAGAGTTTAAATTCTTCCTTTTTGCAGTAGATTTAATAGGAGGAGGCTTATTTTTCTTGGTGTTATTTAGACCCAACTGAAACCTGCAAATGAAAAGTTGAGAAGCGTTGCTGTAGCCTGTACTATAGCCTGTGAGAAGTTGTTCTAAACAAGCCTTGCAGTTGCCTCTTTGGGCATATGTTCAGTCTTGGCCGAGCA